GACCGCCACCGGGCTCGCGGGGTTTCTGCGCGAGCTAGGGTAGTGTCCCGCCGCCGTAGCCATGTTCGTGTTAGATTTCCGCAAGGAGTTCTACGAGGTGCTCCAGAGCCAGGTGAAGCCTTCTTTGGGTCCCGAGGCTTGGGGGAAGGGACGAGGGCGCGCGGCCGTGGGGGCGGGAGGGGCCGGGGTTCGGGCCGCCGCGCTCAGCCCTCTCTCCCCCGACAGAGGGTCCTTCTTTTCGTGGCCTCGGACGTGGACGCTCTGTGCGCTTGCAAGATCCTTCAGGTGAGGCCCGCGGGCTGGGCGGGCGGGGGGCGCGGGGGAGGAGCGGGGCGAGGACCCCATCCCAGGCGAGAGCTCGTCCTGGGGCGGGGACTCAGAAGACTGCTTCCCTGGCGGGACGGCGTTGGGTGGGTTAGAGGGGAACTAGGTAAAAGGCAGGGAGACTAGTTAGTATCTCTGTAGCAACCTGGGCACAGAATGGTTGCATTCGAGAGACCCGTAGACCTGTGGCGGCTTCTCACGTGTGGGGTTTGAAACGGAGGAATCTGACAGCCGAGGGCACAGTGGTGTCATAAGCGATTCTGGAGATACTCGATTCTTTAGCCTGTTAGGGAGGATCGTTGGTTCGGTTTTGAATATGGTGCAAGGTTTACATGAGCTTTGGTCAGAGGTCCTTGGGTCAGGAACTACTTCTCAGAAGACATAGAAAAACCATCAGCTTTTCAGTTTTCCTTTGGTGATTTTCAGCAAAGTTGACCAGATGATTCAGTGGACATTCATGTCCCCATCACCTACTAGCTGACATAAATATATTTCACTAACCTTAGGTTATCACGTGTTGTTTGTCTCTTATCTTTTTTTTTTTTTTAAGTGCATTTCAAGGTAGATTGCAGACATCCTAACTGCAATAGGTTTTGAAAAAAAATCTCTCTCCAGGCCCTGTTCCAGTGTGACCACGTGCAGTATACGCTGGTTCCAGTTTCTGGGTGGCAAGAACTTGAAACTGCATTTCTTGAGCATAAAGAACAGGTATGAGAGATGCATTTGAGAATATTAGGCTTTTTTTACTCAATTACAACTTCTTAACACTGAGTATTCTTTCTATGTATACAATAGCTTGCATGTATTTCTAACTACCGACTTTTTTCAGAAGAGAAAAGTGAGCTATATGTCCAGGTGACTTACCCTCAAATTGTGGAGACAAAATTGACAACAAAATAGAGATAGTGAATATGGACAGCCTCTAACTTTGAACTTGTGTTGCAGATACATTTCATTGTAAGGTGTTTGGAATTTGGCAGGTTGTTTTTTATATGGCCTAGTAAAAATTACTTTAGATTAGACTACTGTTTCATATTTTTCTCTCCAAGAAAACGTATCCAGGTTTCCAGCTTGAAATTCAGGAACATACCGTCTCCTTTTGAAATTTAAGCAGTAGAGGCCAGGCCTCCTCCCACCTCTTCATGGAGCTATAATGAGAGATGGGACATCTGAGACCCCACAGCCCCACAGGGAGAGACTGGAGTCTGGAAGAGGGTCCCTAGAGTTTCTGGCCACATCTAGGACTGTCTGGCAGAGATGAGTCCTCACCCGGTGCTCCTGTCATCATGAGAGGGACCTCTGCCAGTTCAGTATTTATAAGAAAAGGGTTTTTTATAGTGATGGGATG